TTCCAAGCTTTGCTTTGTTCGACAGGTTCCTTGTTTAGGTGCTTAAACAAGGAATCGTAGCACGTTTTATCATGGGAAACCTAGGCTACAACGCTCCTAGCACTTGTGGGAGGTAGCAAATAAGGTTTTAAGGAAAAGAACCTTGTGTTCGAACTCGTGCTAAACCTATACCCAAACACTCAACCTTTTCCTTCCCAATTTTCGGTTTTCCCATATAATATTAATCTTTCCGTAGGATTATTATTATTTTGGGATTTTCCACCATATTACCCAACAATCTTAAAACCTTATATCCGTTTCCCGTTGGTTGTTAATCTCTGGCCTTCTAGTTGATTATTATCTCACATTTTGATTGTAGATTTAGGATAGCATAAACTTAATTGAAGAAATATGTGCGATGATTGCTAAAATGAATCATAGATTGCTTTAAATTGGTATGCAAAATCTAAATTTTCAGTTTTACCCTTCATTTTAACACCAATTTAATGCCAAAACTAACGAAGGAGCATTTTAACTTAAAATCAAAAGTCAGGGGACCACTTTGAAAAAATTAAAAGTTAAGGGACCAATTTGAAAGAAAGATTATAATCGGAGTACATTTTGGGAATTAACACCATTCTTATATATAATTTGTAATTTTGTATCACGGAGCGGTTTAGAATTTTTTATTTTTTTTTATTTTTTTTGGCATACTTTCACACCAGACCCTGACATGCACAAAAGTGACAAAACTACGGCCAAAGTTGTGCTAGCATGTAATTCAAATTCATTTTTCTAAATAAAATTTAAATTATGCAAGAAAATCGAGATACCTACCCGGAGCGTTATGCCCTGGATCCGTCTCCACCATGTGCATGGTGAGCACACTGTACATTCATAATTTTTATATTGTAGATTCATAATTTCTATACTGTAGATTCATAATTTCTATACTGTAGATTTATAAAATTTATAATGTACATTCATAATTTCTATACTGCACATTCATAATTTCTGTACTGTAGATTAATAATTTCTATACTGTAGATTCATAATTTTTATAATATAGATTCACAAAATTTATAATATAGATTCATAATTTTTATACTGCACATTCATAATTTCTGTATTGTAGATTCATAATTTGATAACTATACATGATGGTTTTTGGGTTTTCGGGCCCAAGGAGGTCCAACACAACCTTTAGCTGGAGGATACACCTTTCAATAAAATGTATATTTGAGTGAAGCACTCGTTTATAATTTGTCTTACTCCCCTCTCCGGGTCTTTTCTTCTCCCCCTTACAAGAGTGGAGGAACCTTTATATAGCAGGCTCCTCCTCCACTGACTTAACGGCCTTAATGGCCGACTTCAAAGCTAATTAAAGCGCCGAGCCGTTGGATGCCATTACTCGGTCAGCCAACGGCTCTCGCAAGCTTGTAACAGCCTGACCGAGTCCTGCCTTCACTGCCCTAACGGCTCTCTGTTTAAACGAGTCTCTTTAATGCTCTTCAACGGTTCCTTGAACCGAGTGTTTCCTCGGGCTTGGGCCCCGGTCGACTCCTCGTCCCGGCCCAAACTCCCACTGGGCTCCTCATAGCCGCTCTGAATTAGGTCTCCGTGCTTGGGCCTGGGCCGACTCCTGGGCTCGGCCCAAGCGCCCTCCGGGCTTCCTTTGACATCAGCCCACCTTTCTTGTCTCGGACCTTTTCTTTGGGCCAAACTTTCTTGGGCCGGGGTCCTCACCCCATCAACTTGTCCTTCACTTTTCCGTACCCGGTCCTCTAACCTGGGTTCGGAAAAGTAGTAACCGAACATCAATTTTGACCTCCGAATCTCTGCATTGAATGTCCCTTATGACGCCCGGATTCTCTGCCATCTCCCCGGATTTACCGGAACCGTTTCAATTCTCCTAGCTTTGTGCGGCTCCTATAAAAGGTCTCTTATTCCTCTTGTCTCTTCCACTGGTCCGCCATGGGTCGCTCACCTCTAAAAGGGAAGCGAATCGATTTTGGCTCTCCTCGACGTCCTCTTTCTTCGAAGCGGACTCGACCTGAGAGGGAAGGCAAGAAAAAAGCTTCTCGTCCGACTCTTCGGAGATCTCCTGCTGGTGCCACCTCCTCAGCTTCTCAGTCGCCGACCCCACCTCAGCGAGAAGTCGTGCCGCCTTTGTTTCGTCCGCCGACTCCAACAACTGCCAGGGTGACTTCTCAAGATGGATCCTTTGTGGAGGTGGTCGTCCCTGAACAATTGACTTTCCGCATGACGTTCTCTATTCCTCTGGACGACCCCGACGGGCCTGTCACGGGTCTGATGGATGATGAGGACTACACTCGTTACTTGGAGGCATACCCCGATGACGAGGAACCTGTGGATCTGCCGCTCATGCCTTCTTTCTGGGATTCGTTCCGCCCCTCTCCCCCTGGGCCATCCGGGGGAAGGTTCTTTGGAAGCGACTCCTCCTCCCCCAACGAGTGATTATCTAGGCCGGAGTCGGCCTCATATTTCAGAGGGGTCTTCTTTAGGAGCATTTTCATTATCCTTATTGTAATAAGCTCCTTACTACTTGTACCCTTCTTCTTTTGCCAATAAAATGCTATTTTTCGCCCTATCTTATATTTTGTGTTTTGTCGTGTACCCATCCGGACGACTGGTCAAGGAGTCCGTCACATCGTCAGTCCTTTTGTAGTCTGACATCTGCAAGATTCCCCGTATCTCGGGTGAATCTAATCTCCTCTGCGCGGCGTGCGAATCTCGCTCTTCCCGGGCGGATTTGATGGAACTAATCTCTGACAGAGATTCGCGTCATCCGTCTAATCCGGCTCAGTTATGTCAGTTACGATTCCTTCCGTGATTACCGCCTAGATATTCGCTTCCACTAGGCTATATAAGGACCCTTCACGGTTGGTGCAAATCACAATACCCCTCATTTTCGAAGGCACGGAGTTATGAGTTATAGAGATGGTGATCGTCGCTGGTCCATCCGCAACCAGGAGCACGCTCGACTAGAAAAGCTGAAGCAAAAGAGGCTGGCCAATGGAGGGCGTCTGGTGGGCGACTCGGCTTCAGACCCCATTGTGGTGCCCCCGGACGTGCTGGACCTGATGTGTAGGGAGCCGATCGATGTGGAGATGGAGCCAGTGGTGGAGGATCCAGAACCAGAGGTGGAAGAGAAGTGGGAGGCTCCTCCCCTTTTTGGTGTCGCCATGTCGCCGAGTGCTCTGGAGAGGCCTCTGCAAATGATTGATGACGGGAAGCCGGCCGTGTATCTGGATGAGGTGCCGGATTCAGAGCCGAGTCCTCTACCTTTCCGCCCTCAGTACTTCCTGGAGGGTCCTCCGACTGCTCGCCTGTCAGGAGAGAAGGAAGCCAAGCCTTGATCTGCTTTCTCTTGTAACTTACGTCGGCTGAGTCCTAAGCCTTGTAATTTCCCGTACTTTATTAAATAAACTATGTGCCTTTGTGTCCGACTCTTATTTTTCTATACTTTTTTTTTTGGACCGACCTCCGGCCTATGTGACCGATTCCGTGTCTTTTTACGGCGAGACCTTCTTGGCAAGGGAGTCGCCAAATCTGACTGTCGACCTCATGACCGAAGTCTCTTCGCCAACTTGACCCCTGTCATCTGATGGGCCGGGTTCTACTGGGTCTTTCTAGAAGCCTCCAGCTCGTACCCGGTGGGCCCAGAGGCCGTGGCCTACGATGGGCTTCCGGCTTAGCAGGCCGGGTCACTGTCATTCGACCCTAACCTAGGGCAGACACGCCGTTTGCAGGCTAGCCCTAGGCCTGAACCGTCGCTCCGTCTTTCGAGGCATTAATTGCGGCGTCTCTTCACATCTTGTCACCTCCGCTTCTTCCAACGAGGAGGTGACACGTGGCTGTCGCTTGGGATTCTTCCCCCTTTTAAATAGCCATCTTCTTCCTCTTCCTCTCACTTTCTCTCAACTCTTCGAACTCAGCTCCAAGCACTGCCGTCCTTTTCTGCATTTTCCTCAGTCCACGCCCAGGTTGGTAAATGTCTTCCTCTTCTCATTCTTCTTCTTCTCGTCGTCGCTCGGTCGATAACCCAGCGGCGACTTCCCCGTCTTCTTCTTCTCCTTCTTCGTCTTCTTCTTATCCTTCTTCGTCTTCTTCTTCTCCTCCCCGTCGCATGGAACTTCCGGCAGACGTTCCATCGACGTCTTCTCTTCCTCTGAACCCCTCTTCTTCGGGGGCGGTTACTCCAATGAGCCCCGCTCCTCTAACAACGGTGGCAGCTCTGCCGGGTGGCGCCGGACGGCCGCGAGGCAAGTTCGATTCAATCGTCCGGCCTTCCGAGTCACCGTCCGTCGTTACCGCGGCGGACCTGGTAATGGCCCAATTTCTACTTGGACCTTCGGCCGTGATTCTTGCTCCGGAAGGCCAGCAAATTTACGACCCACCGGAGGGTTACGTTGGCATTCATTTGCACTCGGTTGCCTTTGGCTTCCGAGTTCCTCCGTGTCCTTTCCTCTCGCTTTTTTATCGTCATTATAACTTAGTTCTGGGCCAACTAGTGCCCAATTCTCACCGACTCCTCACCTGCTTCATAAACCTCTGCCATTGGTGGTTGTGCGAGTCGGATCTAGACCTGTTCCGGTATCTTTTTACCGTGAACAAGGTCGCCTCACACTCGCCGGGTTTTGTCCAAGTTGCCGCTCGTCCGGGGCGACAGCTTTTCGAGGGGTTGTCCGACTCCATTAAGGACTGGAAGCTCCTCTACTTCTTTGTCTGACCTGCTTTCTCTTCCTTCACCTTTCCGACCCTGTGGCCGGCCGCTCTATTAAAGCCTTGCTCTCGGCGTGCCGTCTTTACTAACGATGCGGTCCAGGGCGGCGAGTTCTTGAAGGGCTTTGGGCCGTACTCCGTCAAGTACTGGTCCCGAGTCCGGGCCATGGCCAAGCGTGGCTTGCTGCCGGAGGGTGCGGCCACCGTAGGTAGCTTTCTTTTCCTTCCTTTTCCCGCTTCTTTTTGCTCTGTCTTACCTCCGACTTGGAATACTTATGGCTTTCCTTTCTTTCGCAGGTCCGTACGACTCCGACTCCACCAGTTCCGACGAGGCTGCTGTACCGACTCCAGAGATGGCGGACAGAGCAAAAAAGATGAGGCGTCGGCTGACCCAGCACGCTTCCGGCACTGCCATTGCTTCTTCCTCCCAACCGTCGCCGGCTCCAATGTCGACTCCTCCACCTCCACATAACGTGGTCGACTTGACGCCGTCGCCCGTCGTGTCGCCGACTCGACAGCCACCTCCTCCTCCATCTGAGAGTCCGAGCTCCAAACGGCCGGCCGAGCAGACGGACACGCCGGCTCCGAAGAAGATCCGGTTGAGCCACGAGGTGGACGAGGATGCCCAGATCTGGCAAGGCAACTCCTCTGTCCGCAAATGGGCTGCAAACATCCTTCTTCCTAAGGATGTGGCGACGACCGGCGCCCTGGGGGACGAGTACATCGTTAAGGCCTCGCTACGCCAGTCGTACCGCGTAAGTGTTTCCGACTCGCCTCTTTTTTCCGTTCTTTTTCTTTCATTTTCTGACTTCCCGTCACCTTGCAGAATCTCACCTTCCAAATAGAGATGAGCCGGCGACTGAGGGAGTATAAGACCGGGCTGAAGTCCATGGCCGTTCGGGTGCACCAAACAGAGGAGGCCTTCTTGGAGGAGCAAGCTAAGCACGCCAAGGCGGTGGAAGTGCATAACTCCGAGATGCTAAGGGTCACCCGTCAGTGGGAGGAGGAGCGAGACAAAGTGGCGACCATCGCCGCGACCTCGGTGGAGGACTACAAGAAGTCGGCGGCCTTCGAGGCGGACGTGAAGGCGGCGATAGAGGCCCGGCAGAAGGAGATCGCTAAAGAGTGGCTGGCGACGCCGGAAGGTGACGACTTCCTTTTGGATTTGGGCGAGCGTGACTATCGCCTTGGCTTCCGCGAGGCGCAGACAGAAATCCACTCCGCCCTGCTGGTCCGCGACTCCTCTTTCACCCCCAAGAGCTGGGGCCTCAAGCCGGTGATAGACGTTCTCCCGGCGGCTGAAGGACCGGCGGCTCTCCCTGCGGCGGCTCCTCCCAATCTCACTGAGTCCTCCCCTCAGGCAGAGGACCCTTCTTCTGTTCCCCCAGCTGGACCAACGGCAGGGGCACAAGTTGAAGGGGTCGATGTCGACACCCCCTCCACAGTAGCTTAGGGCTATTCTTTTAGGATAACCCCTTTTTGTAAAGGCTGGCCTCCTTCTCGGGCCTTTTTTAATTTTAATAAAATTTCCCTTTTTCTCTTTCCTTCTGCGTTGTCTCGAACTCGATTAACTTCCTTAGGGTTCTGGAAATCGAAGAAATATTTCTAAGGCATCGGGCCCTTCTGACTCTGAGAGATGACTTAGGCTCAACGCCCTGTTGACTCTTTATACATTTGCCGAGTCCCTTAATCGAGGCGACTCCTCTTGGCTTTTTTTTTTTTTTTTTTTTTTTTTTTTTTTTTTTTTTTTTTGTTTTTTTTACGGAAACGACTAAGGGTTGGGGCCCTTGTTTCCTAACTTTTCTCGCCGAGTCCCTCAGTCGAGGCGACCCCTTAGGCTTTTTCTTTCTCAGAAACGTTTTAGGGTCAGTGCCCCATTGTTTCTTTATATACTCGCCGAGTTCCTCAGTCGAGGCGACTCTTCTTGGCTTTTTCACGGAAACGACTAAGGGTCTGGGCCCTTGTTTCCTAACTTTTCTCGCCGAGTCCCTCAGTCGAGGCGACCCCTTAGGCTTTTTCTTTCTCAGAAATGTTTTAGGGTCAGTGCCCCATTGTTCTTTATATACTCGCCGAGTCCCTCAGTCGAGGCGACTCCTCTTGGTTTTTCCCTGGAAACGACTAAGGGTCTGGGCCCTTGTTTCCTAACTTTTCTCGCCGAGTCCGGGCGATAGTTATCAGTAATCCGTACTCTTTTATTCAAGTCTTTCAGTACCCTCGGGCCTATACATGGCCTAACCTTTTCTACTGATAGAACTTCTTCAAGTGGATGACGTTCCAGATTTGGTCCACAGGTTTGCCTTCCAGAGTTTCAAGCTTGTAAGTGCCGGCCTGGACCACCGCGGCAATGCGATAGGGTCCCTCCCACTTTACCGCGAACTTGCCTCCTTCCACGGGCTGGCTCGCTTGCCGGTCTCGTAATACGAGATCGCCGACCTGGAAGGTTCGTGGGTGAATCCTTCGATCGCGATATCTTTTTACCGCTTGTTGATATTCGACCATCCGAGCACTCACGGCTTCTCTTCTTTCTTCTAGGAAATTTTTCTCAATTCGAAGACTTTCTTCATTCTCCGTGTCGGAATAAGTGCAGACCCGGTGAGTGGGCTCGACCACTTCAATTGGGACCTTAGCTTCGAAGCCGTACGTTAGGGAGAATGGGCTCTCTCCGGTTGCTCGCCGCTGCGTAGTGCGGTAAGCCCATATGACTCGGTCAAGCTCATCCGCCCAATTTCCTCGGATATCTTCCAATTTCTTTCGAATTCCATCCACTATGGTCCGATTCACATTTTCGACTTGCCCGTTGGCCTGCGGGTACGCCACGGATACCTTGGTATGGCGAATTTCGTGTCGGGGGTAGAAGTCAGCAAACGCCTGGCAGTCGAACTGTCGCCCATTATTGCTGACAATATGCTCGGGCAAGCCGAAGCGGCAAATCACCCTCTTCCATAGGAAGCGTCGGCATTGGTACTCGGTGATAGTGGCCAACGGTTCAGCCTCAACCCACTTGGTGAAGTAGTCGATAGCTACGACACAAAATTTCAGGCCCCCGGGGGCTGCCGGTAACGGCCCCAACAAGTCGATTCCCCACTTAGCAAATGGAATACCCGTGGTGACCGGCGTGTAGAAGGTAGCCGGCCGAGTGTCCTTTCTGGCGAACGCTTGGCAAACGCCACATTTGGATATCCACTCGATGCAATCTCGCATCATAGTCGGCCAATAATACCCCTGGACGACTAACTTTCGAGCGAGCGTGTGGGCGCCCTGGTGCGCGGCGCAGATGCCTCTATGAGCCTCGTCCATTATTTTTTCGGCCTCGGGCCTGAGCAAGCATTTCAACAAAGGACCTCCGAACGACCGTTTGTATAGTTGCCCATCAATAATTTCGAAAGAGGGGGCTTTTCGTCGAACCCTAGCAGCGACTCCCGGGTCTTCCGATAATTTTCCTGTTTCCTTGAATCGCCGGATGTCCTCTATCCAGAACATCTCGGGGTTCTTCTCTCGGTCCCATTCCTCGCCGGTCACCTGCTGGACTTCTACTGTTGTTTCCTCGATACTTGGTCGATCTAACACCTCCTTTTGGCAGATCTTCACAAGGTGATCCGGTACTCCCTCCAAGGCAATCTTAGACAATATGTCGGCTTCCATGTTGTCTGCCCGGGAGATGTATTCTGTTTTGTAAGCTCCGAATTTCTTTAACATTTCGACCGCCCGCTCTTTATATAAAGTCATTCGTGTATTCTTAGCCTCACATGTGCCGGAGATCTGCCCGAATACCAACCTGGAGTCGGTCTTGATTCTCAATCGCTCGACTCCTAAGGCCTTGGCGAGCCGGAGACCATTTAGCACAACTTCATATTCGGCCTCATTGTTGGATGTCGGAAACAGGTAGCTTAAGGAATAGTATAGTCGGAATCCCTCCGGGGAGATGAGTATAACTCCACCCCCGCAGTGTCGTCGACTCGACGCTCCGTCCGCATGCATTTCCCACCACTCGCCTAAACAGTCCTCCGTGGCGTGTTCCTTTTCTTCTTCGCTCGCCGTGCACTCGACCAAGAAGTCGGCCAAGGCTTGACCTTTTATGGAAGGCCAGGGCTGGTACTCAATCCCATACTGAGTTAGTTCCATGGCCTATTTCACTAGTTGGCCGGACGACGAGGGGTTTCGCAGGACGCTCCCAAGCGGTTGGTTAGTCAGCACTCGGACGGTGTGGGCTTGGAAGTAAGGTGCTAGCTTTCGCACGGTGATCACCAACGCGTATACAATCTTCTCCAGGGCGGTATACCACGACTCGGCGGCCTTCAGGGAGCGGCTTACGTAATAAACCGGGTGCTGAACGCGCTCTTCTTCTCGGACTAGCGCCGAACTCACCGCCTTAGAGGAGGCGGCTAAGTATAAAAATAAGGGCTCGCTCGCCTGGGGAGTAGACAATACCGGGGGTGTTGAGAGATATTGTTTCAACTCTTCAAACGACTGTTGAAACTCGGTGGTCCAAGCGAATCCCTCCTTCTTCTTCATGGCCTCGAAGAAGGGCACCGTCTTATCCGCCGCTTTGCTCAGGAAGCGGCTAAGGGCGGCCAGTCGACCAGTCAATCGTTGCAGGTCTTTGATGGAGCTGGGGGGCTGCATGTCGACGATGGCCTGTACCTTCTCCGGGTTAGGCTCAATACCTCGCTTGGTGACCATATAGCCCAAGAACTTTCCACCTTGCACGGCGAAAGCACACTTTTTAGGATTCAACCGGAGATTATATCTTATCATTACTTTAAAACAGTTGGCCAGATCTTCCGCATGTTTGCTCTCATCTCGGCTCTTGACGAGCATGTCATCGACGTACGCGGCCATTGATTTTCCCAGAAAGTGCTGGAATAGTCGAGCCACCATTCGCGTATATGTAGCTCCGGCATTCTTAAGCCCAAAGGGCATGACTCGATAGCAATAGACTCCGTTCGGCGTTAGAAACGCGATCTTTTCTTCGTCTACCGAGTGCATGAAGATCTGATGGTACCCCCTAAAGGCGTCCATGAAGCTCAGCAAGGCTGACCCGGCGGTCTCATCAACCAATGGGTCAATCCGCGGTATGGGAAACGGGTCCTTAGGACAGGCCTTATTAAGGTCGGTATAATCAACGCACATTCGCCACGCCGGGGGCTTCGGTACAAGAACCACATTCGCCAACCACTCCAGGTACTAAACCTCTCAGACATGTCCGGCTGCTAGTAGCGTGCTTACCTCTTTTTTTACGAATTCTCTCCGGTCATTGGCCAGGTACCGCTTCTTTTGTACGACTGGTCGATGTTCAGGGTCTACGGCGAGTCGGTGCGAAATAATGGATCGATCGACACCGTGCATGTCCTCTGGACCCCAGGCGAAAACCAGCCGGTGTTCTCGGAGCACTTTTATGATTTCTTCTCTTACCTCCTGCGGGAGACCGACTCCAATTCGGACCCGCCTGTCCGATTGCTCAGGATCAATCTCCACCTCTTCCAATTCAACAGCCGGCTCGGGGTGAGGTATCATTGTCTTCTTTGGGGGCCTTTCCGTGATCTCATGGACCTGCATCTCTTGCTTGCCCATTCCTCGGCAGGCTTGCAGGTAGCAGTCGCGGGCGACCTTCCGGTCGCAGCGCACCGTACCTATTCCATTTGGCTTGTGGAATTTCAGGCAGAGGTGCTCGATTGAAATCAGAGCTCCTAGATCCTCTAGACCCGGTCGGCCGAGTATAGCGTTATGCGAGCAGGCCAGATTTACCACGATGAATTTCATACTGAGTTTCTGTACGTCTGGGTAACTGCCAATCTCAACTGGCAGAGTGATGGATCATTCGGCTTCTACCGAATCCCCTGTGAAACCGGCGAGTGGAGTTTTGACGGGATTCAGCTGATCCCGCGCCAACCCCATCTTCATGAAGGTCTCCAGGTATAACACATTAACACTGCTCCCGGTATCGACCAGGATTCGGCGAACGACTACCCCCTTGATATCCATGGCTATAACCAACGCATCTCGATGCGGCGTCTCTCCAGCCGGTAAATCTCTATCGGTGAAGATGATGGGCTCTCGGCACACCTTCTTAGAATTCTCCTCGCGCCCATACACTGTCCCGACATACAGCTGTCGGGCCCAGGCCTTTCGAGTATTCGCTGAGTCATCACCTTCCGGCCCGCCGACTATCATGTTGATAACCGGCTTTTGACGCCACTGAGCCTCATCTTCTTCGGAAGCAGGCTGCTTGCCACGATTGCTCTCGGCGGCGACGGCGGGATCCTCGTCCCCTCGATTGGCCGACCTCCGTCTCCATTGATTAGGAGGCGGGGTTCCTTGCTGGATGATACCCTCCATGATCTTCTTCAGGTAAAAGCATTCTTCTGTGCTGTGGGTATAAGATTTATGGTAACGACAATATTTAGAGGTCTTACCCGTCTCCTCGCTAGTGATGCGGTCATCAATCTGCTAAGGCGGAGGCGGGGCGACCGCTTGTATTTCATGCACCGGTCGTTCGGGAGTCGGCCGGTAGGGGTGTACGGCGGGCCTGTCGTATGGTCGCCTGATTTTGGATCATCGGGTTGCGTCTGGGCGCCTTTCCTTGGTTTCGGCTCGCGTTCTCTTTCCATTGGCGGACCCACCGACTTCGCGCTGCCGTTTG